ACTTAAGGTGGCCGACGACGCTCAGGGCCTCCCCCTCTAGTGAAGCCAGGAGGTACCCCATTTTTTGGCAGGGGGTCAGGTCCCTCCGGGCGTCCACCAGGCTGTCAAACAGGCCGACGAAGGTCATCCACTCCGAGAGGACCCCGGAGAACCTTGGCAGGTCCAGCGTCGGAAGTCGTCCTAGCAGCTCTGGCTGAGCCGACGGCTTCCGCGGGGACTCGAGAAGGCTACTCAGCCGAGCTTCGCGCTCCCTCTCCGCATCCTTGGCCCCCGCCTCGATCAGGTCGTCCGTCAGCGCGAGGAACTGCTCGTAGTCCGCGCGGCAAGATTCCAGGACTCCCTTTTCCACCTCCAAGTCCTCGAGCTCAGAGTAAGCCTCCTCCACGGCCGCCCTTCGAGCATCGACCTGCTCAAGCCTCTTCCTCAGATTGTAGACCCTGTCCGGTCGGCCTATCAACGCGTGTGCGCTGGTAGCCCAGCGCAGCTCAGTCCGCAGGCAACGGATTAGCATCTTGGGCGAGGACATCACTACTAAATTCAAATTACGACGCGGCTCGAGCACAATTACAACAATAACAAATAAAAAAATACAAAAAAATTAACAGCTAACTAATGCAGTTCCTATCAAATCGAGTTGGATAGAATGTACACAAATAAGAACAGCTATTATTAAATCAAACACAAGTTAGTACAAAGGAAAAGGTAAATCAAATCAACAATAACAAATACTAGTACGATCAAATCAAGTTCATTTAAATTACGTAAATACAAATTACCACTCTTTAGTTCAAATACAATTTACAATACGAAAGATATGTAACGAAGATACACATCAACAAAAATGCCTTGCTCGGAAATCAACCCTTCGATAAGTAACACACTACCATCCGACAACGACAATTAACCGATTACGTAAAAATAACCATCTACCTACATGACGCAATCTCCCGCTTGCGCGCGAACCGGGTGTGACCTTTCAATTTTACCCGCTAACAGTAAAGCAAGCTAACAAAGGAAGGAATTTTATTATTACGTATAATAATAAAAAGGTATTTTACGTATTACGGACGGGCGTGATTGTAGCCACAAATCCACCCAACGCTCCTGCCACCAAATTATTTAATTTTTATCCAATACTATGGTCGGTGGATCGACCGGGAATCGATCCCAGCACCGCGTTCTGCTACCAAATGTTACGGCCAACAGCTGCCCTGCCTAAACAGGAGTTGGATCCTTCGCGGCCCATAGACGAAGGAGCCACGGGCAGATGCAGGTCGGGCGTTCCTACGCCGAGGGTCAAAGGTTTCTAATGAACACGCGAGGGGAAAGGTCACTAGAAGAAATGCACTTACCTGCCTCAGGAGCGCAGACGGTTCTCCTAGACCGGCCCGGCTGATGGAAGTTGTGCTTGGTGTATGCGGTGTTGTGAGTGTAGGTGTAATTGTGTGAGCTGGTATGTTGACGGGAACCGATCTGGATGACTCGACGACGTCCGGGAGAAGGCACGCGCTGGTATCCCCGGAACTTCACCCTTCTGGAGGCACTCGTAAGGGGTTGTCACCAAATGGGACGGCTACTCTGGTAGTCCTTCAGATGTAAATCACTTTGATAGTTGCGCGCGAATTTCACCGAGTTAGTACGTTCTAATAACGATACCGTTATTGCAACGATTTACGCGGATTGTTTCTTTAGCAAGTTTAGGCGCGAAAAAATACGTCCGTATAGTTCGCAAGAAAAATCCTACTACCTCGCGAGAAGAGCCACACCGACTCGTTGCGGCGGCCGGGGGGGCGGGGGAGAGGGAAGGTGCCCTTGATATCGAGGCCAAAAGCGCGCGTTAAATCCTGCGTTTTTATTGCAAATTTTCCTGCCTAGACAACAATCATGTTAGTAATTACGATATTAAGATTAGAAACACATTTTTAAGTAGGTAGGTATATTAACCAATAGTTTTCAATTAGCTACAAATTCACTTACGTGTGGAATGTTATCTCACTTTCCTTTTGGTAACGAGTTTTACATATTATGCACACTCATTATTACTAAAAATAATTATTTTTATTTAACTAAACTCAAATATAATCAAGCCACATAAAATACTTTAATTTTTTAGTTTAAAAATTCAAAACACCGATATATGATTTAAATAATACAACAGACTTAGGCATATTATGTCAATTTTAGGTCGGCAATCGGTTTAATCGGCATAAGCATTTTGTATGGCATAGCCAGTCCAGCGTACTTGTATATATAGAGGTCAGTGGTTCCACCGCTCTTTTAGCAAAATGTAATTATAAATGGGATGTTCTTTTGAATTAGAAACAGTTAATGAAGCCTTACATTCTCTACAACTAATGTTTTTAAGAAAAGCCTAAGCTAAGTAACCACTTACGTAAACAGTCGGTTGTTTATGAAATGATTTGAAAAATGCATTAATTTCTTCTAATTGTACTCTTTATGTAGAACATGATCCGAGATTTGGAATTGTGGTACTGGTTCTCCTGAGGTAAATGCAGAACTATCATGGAATTGGGAATTCTGGAAATGTGTATAGTCTTTAAGACTGGAAATACAGTACCATTGAAATCAAACAGTACATTGTTACCGTCTTTCTCAAAGTTGGATGATTGATGATTTTAATGCTCCCTTGAAATGACGGCAAGATGGATTGCCGTTTTGTTCTAAATAAGTTTTCAAGAGCGTCTTGATTCAGCTGTCTTAAATTTAGATATTTTAAACCTTTTGAAGCACCACAACTCCCAGATACGTTCCAGAGATTTTATTGTTATTATTTAGCCAACATTATTAATCTGATGTCACTATCGAAAAAAAAAACAGTTTCTCGTATTTCCTACTACTTTGGCCAAAGTTATTCCTGATAGACTTAAATAGATGAGGCACATCATAAATAATGTATACATTTTCATCGTTTAGTAAAAAATAATTATGATCTAGAGTAAGACCACTTCTCTTTTTGAGTAAATTTAATGCACCTACATTTGTAGGACCCTGATTGCAAACTGTTGTGAGAACTTGATATCCAACTGAATTGATGGCGTTGATATTGGTATTTATTGTGTTAGCCAAATTTGCATATGAAGTTAGCTTACTATATATTTATTTATCTACGAGATGTAAGAACTCTTATGCATAGACTTAGAATATATTGGTGTATAGACGACCTGACAGCCCGAAAAAGGTGACTAATTTTGATTTGTCATTGTGTGCGTTGGATAGTGATGTACATTTTACTTACAAGTACTATCGAAAAATGATATTATTTATTGAAAAAAAAAACGGACAAGTGCGAGTAGGACTCGCGCACCGAGGGTTCCGAACAAATCCGTAGGTATATAAGTTTAAAATTATTAAAAATATTTTTATTATATCATGTAACCAAAAATTTATGCTTTTTGCAATTTTTCCTTTATGGGTGCTATAATACGTTGCTTCGTACCAAATTTTAAGATTCTGAGTTCACGGGAAGTACCCTGTAGGTTTTGATTCCCTTGCGAATATCAAAAATTTGCAGCATAAACGGCTGTATCTTTTGATTGCGTTGGCCTAGAAGTTTGATTTTTTCACAGCTCCAAGGGACAGTAGATGTAAGTATTTGATATTAATTTCAGCTTGATTCATTCATGTCATGAAAGACGCATTCCTGAGAAAAAGGGTCTTGACAGACAGACAGACAGTCAGACAGACAGACGGACAACAAAGTGATCCTATAAGGGTTCCGTTTTTTCCTTTTGAGGTACGGAACCCTAAAAATGATATTATTATCGAAAAATGATATTATACTACGTATTTATTTATTTATTTATCTATGCCGTAGAGGGAGTATGTACAACTCTATGATCTATGCTCTTCGCCAGTAATCATAATCATACATACTCCCTCTATGTAATCTTATAATCTATGGTATATCCCAGGCTCCCGTCCAGTGTTGCCGATGTGGCATTTTTAATGCTAAATTTGGCATAATTTTAAACATGTTGGCATGAAAACATTGGCTTTAGCGTATTGCATATTTTAGCATTTTTCGTAAAAACAAAATTAAGAAATCGTATGTCACTACATACACTGAACTCGATCCTATACGTCAGATATGGCCTTAAAAGATCAATTAAATGTTGTCATTCCTATGAGTTCCCGAACATGTTTTAAAACAGATTAGAGGGATTAAAGAGTTGCTTGTGATGCCTATGATTATTGCTTTTGAAGATGGCCCTTCAACATCACAAGCACAAGCACACGACAAAGAAATAGCACTGCATTTTTAGTTACACTACCTACTTGCAATTTATTATTATTTCTTATTAATTTAAACAAGACTGGCATTTTTTTTAGCATATTCAAGTGTGATTTAGCACTTTTTAGCATTATCACCGCCAAAGTCTAGCATTTTTTTCATTTACAAAACGGCAACACTGCTCCCGTCAGGGTACATGTATTCTGTGCCCAGGCTAATTATAATTACCTATATGAGTTTTGGCGGGAACTTGATCAGCGGCGGTTTGCTGCTCCTGTATTATTGTTTAAATAATGGTTTGAAGTGGACTTTGATATGTAAAAGTGGTGCGATTTTGTGTATTAATTGTCTACGCATGTGAACTATTAGTGGAAACAGTGAAACAAGTGGTCTGATGGTGATGGATTCTCAAGATAAGCTGTTTGTTTGCATAGGCGCCTTGAGATACCATCGCCAACTATCAGCTGTCTGCTGGCTCAAGCTGCCGTCAAAATCTCTCAAGGGCTGCACAATGTGACGCATCAACATATTGTGAAGCAGTGAACTATGAAGAATAATTATTTATAATAAACCGAATAAAAATACTCAAGACTTGGCCTAAAGGTCTAGATACCAGGCCATAAACTCCTGTAAAAAAAAAAAAATAATTACCTATATGAGTTTTGGTCTTTTGGTTTAATAAAAAAATTTATATAATTATTTTATTTCAGTAAGACTTAAAAGCTGTACATAAACATCGTCTAGCAAAATGAATAAATTTTTTGCGTTAAGCAATTTTAAACGTCTGACGGAGTGTAGCAGATCTATATCTACAAGAATCACAGCAGATGGGAAAGAAGTGCCCAAAAGAAAGAATATTGAAAGTAGGATAACTTTAATTGGGTCTGACAACTCAGTTAGTATAACAGATCTAAAGAGCGCTCAGAGTTTGTCCCTTAGACGAGAGTTGAAGTTAGTTAAAATTCAAGATGTTGACACAAAAACTAGGCGGCCTGTATATAAGTATGTATTAGTGCAGTTAATTTGCTGATTAGTTAATAATAAAAAATACTCTATGCGAACTTTCACAATCCGATCTAGTGTGGAGAAAATTGTTTTTCCATGAAAGGCTACAGTTTATAGGATTACCGATAAAAGGTGTTAATTACTTACTTTTCAACAGGTTGTTGACTAATGCTCAGTATCATGAAGAGGAAATTTCTAGGAGAAAAGAAAAACAAGTGCTAAGGGAAAATGAGCTAATTAAAGGACAAAAACTGATTACATTGTCTCCTAGAATTGCTGAACATGATCTCATGACAGGCATTAAGAAAATGTTAAAACTTTTAGATAAGCAATATGAAGTGAAAGTTGTAATTACTGGTGGTGACGAAGAGTCTGTTCAAAGTTTGGTATGTAAAACATAATAAATCACACCTTCATTGAGAAATGATTATGACCAATGTAGTAAAAAGATAATCATTTCTTCTTAGGTAGGAAATTATTATACACTCGGTGTTATGAAATCTTGGAGAAGCTCTTATCTTGCAGTAGCAAAAGTTTGAAGTATCTAATGATTTTTTCTTATGAGGGCATGTCATATTATTCAGTCATATGATTTGATTGCTAGTGACTGCAGTCAGAAAATGGTATAATTCCACCTCCAGGTCCTTCCAAAGCATTATTAGCAAGACAAAGTTAGAGCACATCGGCAGAATTGGCGAGAAACTAGTTCAACTTCCTTAGGGAACATATGCATTTTGGCCTTTCACCAACGCTGGGAACTTCAATCAGCCATTTCTCCCATCTCTTCATATTGAGCACACAGTGCTTCTTTCGAAGCTCCCTTTCTATGGGCTTCCTGAGAAATTGTGCAATTGGATCACCAGCTTTCCTGCAGATCGGAACATCAAGGTTGTAGTAGACGGAGCATGCTCTAATTACAATTCTATTAATGCTGGTGTTCCACAAGGCTGCATGCTATTTCTGCCAATGCTGTTTCTGCTGCATATCAATGATATGTTGCAAGCCGGTAACATTCATTGTTATGCAGATTACAGCACTGGTGATGCTTTATACACTTGCCATGCCAATATTTCTCTGGACAACGTCATAGAGTACAGGATCAAAGTTGTGTCTGAAGTCGAGATCTTGTTGAACAAAGTCTTAGCTTGGTGTGATCAGCGGAGCATGACAGTATTTCATGCCAGCACACCGCCTGCAAATTTACAAGGTGCAGGTTTGCCCTCACATGGAGTACTGTTCCCATCTCTGGGCCGGGGCTCCTTAATGCCAGCTCCTTCCATTTGATTGTATCCAGTGCAGAGTGGTTCGAATTGCCGGTGACAGCTCTTTCTGATCGTCTTGACTTACTGGCACTGCGAAGAGTTCTTGCATCTCTGCCTATTTTTTCGCATCTACCATGGAGAGTGTTATGAGGAATTGTTCGGACTTATTGCAGCCCCTCAATTTTGCCATTGCACATCACGACAAAACTCGCGATTTACTATCTATACCATCTGAATGATTGGCGGTCCAGCACTGTGCGATTTACAAGAAGTTTACTTCCTCACAGAACTTCATTGTGGAATTGACTAACACCAGCAATTTTTCCAGACATATACGAGTGAGAGACCTTTGAGAAAAGAGCCTACTCTTTTATTAAAAGGTCGGTAACACACCTGCAATTCCCTTAGTGTTGCAGGTGTTCACAGGTGGCAGTCGAAACTTACCATCAGGTGAAAAAAAATAACAAAGATTTGTTCACAAGGAATCTTATTCCTGACAGCTCATCAAGGTCACGGTCAATGTCAACGCAAAAGTCATAAAAACATTTAAACCATATATGGAATATTAATAGAGTGCCACATCATTTCCGTAATGAACGGACACATGAAGTGAGCAAAACGTACATACCATATTATGGACTATACAGAGCGCCACATCATTTCCGTCTTGAACGAATGCTTAAAGTGAACAAAACATACAAACCATATACGGAATATACAGAGTGCCACATTATTTCCGTCATGAATGGATGCATGAAGTGAGAAAAACATACAAACAATATTCAAAATTGAATATCATCCTGTTGAATATAAATGAAATTCCTGTTCTACTATGGTATTTGCTAACATAAATTAACAATATTTACTCTCTAAACATTTGTAATGGAAGAATGGTCTGTGGAAATATTTACATATATTGTGAAATTCTATATATATATTAGAGATGGTCCGAAATTCGGTTCACATTCGGTTCAACCGAATTTCGGCAGCTTGAACCGAACTTCGGTATTCGGCCAAAATTCGGTTCAGATGCCGAAATTCAGTACAAGAAAAATAATACCTACTTGCACTTTATTTAAACTGAAATATAAGGTGCTTCTAAATTACAATATGCCATGGCTGCAACTGGTGGTTCTACTCATGATACTGAACCACTTTCCCCAAGGAACCTATAGTCAATTCTCAAAAAAAAAATTGCACTTTGTATGGAAATCGGTCAGCTGATTGGCCAAGTCTCCATACAAACAACCGTGTTATATATTTAAGAAGTATCTTATATAACAACATTAGGTACTGTAAAATAAAAGATATTATTTTTACTCACTCATGATCAATTATTTATTTATTTATTTAGGAACATTGTAAATGTAAACCTTATATTAAATCTGTTCTTATCTTATTATTAACCTTAATCTTAGAAATCCCTGCCTAATTAATAATTAGACATACTATTACAAAAATGAAATAAACTTTGTATTCTCCTAGTAAACGTCTGGATAGGAGTCCGTAAATTAAATAAAAAAATTATGTTTTTGATTCAACATTCATTAACCTCAAGTGTTTTTTATTACAAATAAAGGGTATTTTTTTCAACAATCATATTAAACCAACTTTTCTTATCATCTATCCATATTTAAAATTTACTAGAGGCAGGTTATGGTGCAAAAACACCAAAGACTGCCTTATCTGGCAGAAGTTAGTTACGTTTTTTTGTATATATTTCCTGCCTCCAAAAAAAGTCGCTCAGAATATACAGAGCTTCCGGGACATGATAAGTATATTCGAGCCAAACAACTCATATTAGGGAACTTGTCTTTATTCTTAGCCCACCAGCCATATGGACATAGGTCTTTGAGTAGCAGAACTTCACTGAGATATCTGTCTAGCTCTGACGCAATCGGACTTTTGGTTTCTTCTACATCTATCGGTAACTTTACTGCTGCTAGTCCCTCGTAGCAGCTCCAGAACGTTCTGTGTGTGTTTTCACAATTGGATGATGACGTGGATCTCTGTGCTACCTGAACAACTTCTTCATCACTGCTTGACCCAATATCCTCGATTCTTCTTACAAATTCCGCCAGGAAAGTTCGTCTGATCATTGGTACATTATCTGGTGTAAAAAAATTCATTCTGTAGTGTGGATCTAGCATTGTTGCTAGATTATAGTACTTGTCATCTTCAATCCCCTGACAACGTCTATCCAGTCCTTCGTTTAGCGACGAACGCATTGTGTTTATATTAGAACAAGCCACTTTAACTTCTTCTTTGATCAAATACTTTGAAAGAATTGTCAAGTTAGGAATGACCTCTGATATACAGGAGTAGGAAGAGCTCATTTTTTTTGTGATTTCTTCGAAAGGTTGAAGTAAAGCAAGACATTCTCTCAGAAGATCCCATTGTCTCTCTGTCAATTTTGAAAATTTATTGTGTTACTGTTGTCAGATATGTACAACGAAATCGCTTTCTTTTGCTCCAGTAACCTTTCAACCATATAAAAAGTGCTATTCCAGCGGGTGCTGACGTCTTGAATAAGTTTGTGGGTACATTGAGCTCAGTCTGTATCAGCTGCAATTTTTCTTCAGCCGGTTGTGAGTGATTGAAATGAGTCACTATACGACGCCCTGCCGCTATTGCTTCATTAACACTTTCCTGCGCGTCTAAAGCACTGTGAATTGCTCGTTGCAAAGTATGAATGAAGCACGTTTTTCCTTTAAAACGACTGTCATTTACGGCTTTCACTATGTTGCGACCGTTACCAGTGACGATAACATGTATTTTGTCTGAGATGTTCCATGACTCGGCTATTTCTTCTAGAGCACACTGGATATTATGCGCTGTATGCTGCTCTGAAAACGATTTCATTTTCAGCATCCCATGTTGCAGTACAAAATTGTTGTCAAGCCAGTGAACAGTGAAACTTAAAAAACACAGCATATTATTGATGCACGTCCACATGTCGCTTGTAACTGAAATCGTTTTAGCTTCGGATAGTTGGTTGAAAATCTTCTTTTTTAATTGTTCATACATTTCAGCTATCACTGTTTCAGTAATGTATTTTCGACTGGCCATCTGGTATTTTGGTTTTAATATGGCTAGCAACCGATTAAATCCGGTATCTTCTACAATAGATGTAGGTTGATTATCCACACATATCATTTCTGCTATGGCTTTGTGAATTTGTTTAGCCCTTGGGTCATCTATTTTCCACTTACTTTCAAATGTGCCCTCAATGGTCGCTTGACGTAATGATGACTCCGCTGCGGGCAACTCTTCAGTAGTATTCGACGATGAAGGTCTTACTGAAGGAAGGATTGGATTTGGCGAATGAATGGGATGTTGTAATTGTGTCAGTGCAGAAGTAGACGCTGAACGTCCACTACCACCACGATATATCAGCGAATCACATAGGATACATTTCACTTTATTTGGTTGATCAGTTTCTGTATAAAATGTCCAAACACTTGATTTTTTCCTTGCACTCATTTTTGGAATAAGCCAATAACAAAACTTATCACTTAAAATCTCGTTTATCCACTTAAAACAAATATTTTTGTTGATTACAATCGCACGCGACACGCGCTGATGTCGTGACGTATTTGATAATGACCGGCCGGCTCGGGGTACGCGAAGGGAGCGCGGTGTGCGGGCGGGGTATTTGAAGTAAATGCGTAAACAAGTCACGACGCGTCGCTCTCGAGAAAGTGCGCGAAAATGAACCGAAGTTCGGCCGAACTTCGGCCGAACATTTCATTTGAACCGAATGTTCGGTAGAAGTTCGGATTCGGTTCAAATCACATTCGGCCCATCTCTAATATATATATATATATATATATATATATATATATATATATATATATATACATACATACATACATACATGTATATACATTTTAACTTTGTCCTCTCAGTATATTTACGAAATATAGTATGTGCCCAAAAACAAAAATAAGTACATAGTTTTATTAAAAATAGTGATGTACATTCTGTAAACACTGAAAGTTCGAGAAAATATGCAGGCCTTATCTAACAAAATGTTTAAAATTTGTATTAAGCAAAAATTATTTAGTAAGGGTTATTATTAGTGACTGACCGAAGATTCGGTTTCGGTTTCGGCAAGTTTCGGC